AGCCTTGGTATCCCTTCTCACAAACTTCACTATTATAGGCATTGGTCGACCAGGTACAGCATTTCTCCTAGTGGGAAGGCGATGACTCACTGAAATGTTTTCTGGTGCAATATCTATACCAATTAATTTACCAATATCTATTGTAATTTGGTTCGTTGATTCTTCATTTAAGTTTTCTGGTGTCGGTATTCCTCTAATTTCCACACATTCTCTTCTACTGTATTGTTCTAAGTCATTATATGAGTCAGACAGCAAAGAAAAGTTTTCTTCCAGAGCTCTAACTGAAGTTTTAAGTACTTTATTCTCGTCATTTACCGTTTCTTCTCATAATTTTCCACTTTACATCGCATCTCTTCATACTTTTCATCGATAAAATTAGCGTGCTTTAGAACATCAGCTACCTGAGACTTTAGTTCGATTATAGTCAAATTCAAAGGAGCAAGCTCAAAGGAGCATGTAACACATTTTGATACGGGGAATCTCGTGGTATGATTGATTTTTTTCTTAAACCTTGGGAAGTTTGTTTTTTCTTCACTTAAAGTAGCCTGAAATTTTCCAGAGGACTGGGAACTACAGATTGCGGCTTGTGACGTCACACGTTAGAGTTGTTGTTTTGACTCCATGTGCAAACACTTTGAAAAGACTATTCATATCGCAAGCTACGACGTTCGCAATTCAATTTTTACAATGTCCGATCTCGATTCGATTTCTAACGCATCAGATATTGAGAATAGTGATGTAAGCGATGATAGCGAGAACGAATATGTGTTTTCTGGCGAGTATTTACCATACCAAAACGAACCATTGGCTAGCGAAAGTGAATCAAGTTCACAAGACGACGATGAATTAGATGAAGATGGGCTTTCCGTTGAGATTTTAAGACAACGTTACGAAAAAGAAGTGCCTGTGGACAAATGGTAAGTCTTTAAAAGTTGTTACATCGGGTTGAGTTTATTTAGATCTATGTTAACCCCTCGAAAATTTAATTTATAGGTGTACTTGTGGAAAATGCAATCACCTACATCTTGTTGGCGCACGAGAATATCGTTGTTGTCGCGAGGTTATTGAATGCGTCGGCAAATATACGTATATTGGACAGAATGTTGGGTGCATAACGGACCATGAGGATTTCAGTTCACTAACGAACAGAACTGTTCTACTCGAAGTAGCCACATTACTGAGGAATAAGGATGGGAAACGATACAGAAGACAACCTGGTAACACAGAGAATCAGTAAGTTTGATTTTGCAATTTCAATTATACAATCCTATAAATTTATTAGACACTTTATTTGCAATCACTGCATGGTCTCTGGATAAATGCAAATAAAAACCATCATATCGGTTATCTTATCATTTATGAGACTTGGAAGTTCTCCTATAACCCCCTTTCTGTCATGTTTTTCAAGCTATATACAGACTTACAATAATTTTGTAGAATATAGTATATGTATATGGCAACCTTCTAAGGTAAAACAAACTATACTTGTTGATGTGCAATTCTTAAATCAAAATCTATTGTGTAGGTTTGTTCGAGCAGTGGGCTATCGATGGCTGGCCAAATGGTTATTCGGCTGTATGGGATGGGAGAACACCAGAGCACTACCAGCTTGCTTGTATCATGAACTGAGAAGTCGATATGGCAGTACTCATGTGCAAGGATATATATCTGGACAAGAAAGAGGAAATACGGCATAAGAGCTATGCATTTACTAAATTACATGTATTTATGATCCTAGGTAACCAGTCATCTAAACCCGACTCACATTTTACAGTCGTGCCAAAAAATGTTGACCAATTCATTTCCTAACTTGAAGGAACACCTCTGAACAATTCCTCGACAATTTGATAATTTCCTTAAAAAGTTCCTAACTTCCTGTTTCATTGACCAATCAAATTTTATATTTTATTTTTGACCAATCTGATTGGTCAATGAAACAGGAAGTTAGTAACAAATTGTTGAGGAATTGTTCAGAGGTGTTCCTTCAAGTTAGGAAATGAATTGGTCAACATTTTTCAGAACACTTCTATTGGGAACTATACAGCTTCTATTTGTGTCAACTATACAGCATATATGACCTATATATAAGCTCTCAGTTTTAGTGAGTAAGGAAAAGATATTTGCTGGTACCTGAGACCATATAACCAGGCTCTATAACCTAGTTATTTATCCTGATGACTAAATGTAATAACGTTATAGATCTTTGAAGTTACAATTGTTCTCGAGTTTTTTAAATAAATATTTTTCAACAAACATGTACAATTGAAATATCATTTTATTGTAGCTCAATTCTCCTCTGCCTGGTTCATACAATGACCACATGGATGCCCTAACATTGGACTCTTGCATTTCCGGCAGCATCTCTGTTTCTTTGCAGGTGGTTCGGCTTGCCTTGCTGCCTCAGCCTCTTCAAGTTTCCTTTTAAGAGTTTCTTGCTCTTGGGCTAAAAAAATATTGATCATAATTCAGTAAACCTTTTAAAATTGCCTTAATTAACCAGTACTTACAGTTTCTAACTCAGGACTAGGGCTGGATTTCAATATTCTATTCAGTTATTTGTTTCTCTTATACCTGATGGAGGAAGTTCAACAACTTGCTTTTTTCTTTTCCCATGTTCTTGCACAGCTTCAATCTTCGATTTTCTGTCTGCAAATTGGGTGTTGAGTGCTGCTGGAACCTTTGCCAAATATTTGTTTCTCACTTTGGTCAGGTCTTCCTTGCTCAAAGTGAGTAAAACTTTTTTAATGCAGGTAACATATTCTTAAAAATATTAAAATGAAAAAATAGTATTACACTGGCCTTGAGATGTAACAGTTGTAATGCATTAATTAAAAAAAGGAAAACTCACCATATTTTGGTGGTACCGATACTTCTCTAACAACTTCATCACCCAATTTGAACTTGGGATATGTGACATGGACATATGCATTTCCATCCTTTGTTGTTTGACTTTCCCGATTAATATTTTCGTTGAAATGCAAGCTTGCCATGATATGTCTGCAGAACAAATTATAGAACATGTGCATAGAGTACCGTAAGCCAGCCAAGGGGGGGGGGGACAAAAAATGGACAATTTTCATTATGGTACAACAGAACATTGTGTACACTCCATATTTTGCAGAGTGGCCCATTGAGTCGAATCGACCATCTCCACTCCAAACACTATCTTTGACAGACTTCAATGACTGTATCAGCTTAGCTTGGTATGACTCCCAGTAGTGGAGGATGCTTGGCAAAAGAAATTTGCGTTGATGATAAAAGAAGGTCCTCGGTGAGTAGGCTGCCAAACCAAAATGCCAAAAAACCAGAAGAACCTTGCTGATTGAAGCACCAGCCATCAATGTCGCAAAGCTCAACAAAACATTTCCTGCTGGATATCTGCCAAGTATAAAAGGTTGGCTCCTCCATCAGAATGGTTTCGCATGACAATTTGAGCATTGTTGCTCAACAGTTACCATGGTACCATTCTGCTCCATTCTCACTTCTGGTTTCTCTGCTTTGCAGTTAAAACAAAACAAAGAAAACAAAGCCAAAAGGGATTGGTAAAAAACAATAAACTTTGGCTCATCAACTGATGTTGTACTTGCATCGACACTAAAAAAGAGACATTGTACAGAATTTAATTACAAGTAGGCAATGTTAATTAAGTGATGTAAGACCCAAGGATTGCCAGTACAGTGTTACAATAGAGATTAAAAATAACACTAACAGGGCATCTATAAATGTTAATGCAATCAAGGGTACAGTAAATTGTGCTCCGATTTGCCATATTGAAATATCCGTAGTAGTAATTTAGCAATGGAAAAATTGTGTTGCAAGGGAGAATGTGTTCCCTATTCTTGGGTTTCATATGATGTCATAAATTTGAAGGGGGGTCAACTCTAAATCGAGACACGGTCATCAGAGTGAATTAATTTTTCACTGTATGTGTTGGCCTTGTCTTTGGTGTCAAATACATGCAATTTTGTATCATTTGCTCACTCCAGTACAGCATAAGCATCGATTCATTTTTGATTGACCCCCAATCAGATTCACTGCAAAATGCCGTAGTGAAACCCAAGGAAATGTTGATATGGCCATGAGGAATTCTCAAACTACACATTCAATCGGTTATATACCGTATCACATTTCTTGACTCTTCATTTGCTGGAATCTCATCATCACCATCGTCATCATCATTTGTTGGCTCCCAGTCTTCTTCGATATCTTCACCATCATCGTCATCAGACTCATCAGTGTGAAGATTGTTGACAACTTGATCAATCATCACAGTTTGCTTTTTTACTTTCTGCAGGAAAATAAGTGCAATATTGGTTCATATGTGAATGGTTGTTTCTGTACAATACTTGTCAATTTTCATTTTAACTCATTAATAACCACCAACACTCTACCACTGACGAGTAAAATAGTCTGGCATTAGGCAAAGTAAATACTAAAGTAGGGTGTACTTGGGTGCTAATGGGTTAACAAGTGACATGGGCAGATGGTTTGTTAACCCATTAATTGGCAATACTCTACCACTGACAACTAAAATTGTCTGGCGTTAGACAGAGTAAATATTAAGCAGGGTGTATTTGGGCGCTATAAACGGGTTAATACTATTTGTTACTTTGTCTATCCATAGCAAGCATACCTGCATACAGGGAATTTCAATTTGAAATATTTATGTTTCTACTTTTGACAATTTATAAAACGATCTGTCCCTTACATACTGTATAAACATCTCATACAGACACACTTACATTCACTAAGCTCTTGTTAGTTTTTTCCAGCTGCTGCACCTTCAGCTTCAATTTCCTTCTAGCGACTTTGCCTTTACGCAAGGAATCTCGCAGCTTTTTACATTGTTCCTTGGACGAAGTCAATACCGGTAATTCACTGGAAATTGGAGTTACGATACTGGATTCGACAGTGGTCAATGATGAAGTGGCTTGCTCGTAAATAAGGCTCGGACAAGGGGTCGAAGGAGTTTGATCCACAATGTGAATGTCATGAATTGCTTCGACATTCAAATTCAGAGATGGTGTTTGCCGAGGTGTTTGCCATTCTCGCTGAACATGACGAAGGAACTATACATAAAATAAACGATTGACAAAATAGTCTATTTCTTCATAGATTTCTTGAATAGTTCAGTATTAAATTCTCAAGCACAGCAAGTGATTAAAATTCATATTGATATTGAAAATACATGAATATAATTATTGCATTATTATTATTCGCGTACCTGTCTGCGTTCCCTTGACGAGATTGCGTCTGAAGTTCGCACCGAAGAAACCGTATCAATTGTTGGAAGAGCTAAACTTCTATCCAGCAATCGTTTCGTTCGTGTCGTACTGGTGCCTTCGAGATTGATGTCAATGCGATTATGGAAGCAAGAAGCTTCAAAATGTGCAGAACACCAGCAGGAATATGCCTAAGGTTGCCAGTTGTGGCTATGTCGCTGGACGAATTGAATCCACGATTTTCGAAGTGATGAATCCTTTTTAGGGAATTCATGCATTGATATTCCTGCAGTTAAAGAATTATTTTTGCAACTTGACTTATTTGGGCCACCGGCTATGCAATATTTGCCGAGATATTTCTTTTCTTTAGTGGCTTGCACTGACCCTTGTGCGCTTTTGTTGGCCATGATGGACTACACGCGAGCAGGACTACAACGTGTGACGTCATAGTACATTTTGACTGCACTGCTTGCACGGAAAAATTTAGCGCAGAATTGGCATATTTGAGATAAAAATAAAGCACTTTCTCGTGTCGCAGGGCAAAAACAAACTGCACCAAGCGATTCAGCGTGTCAACAAGTACTAGAATAATGACAAAACCCATGTATCAAAATTTCGTTTCATAGGCACTTTAATGATCTAATGACAGAACTAAGAAACACTAACGCTGGAGTTAAAATAAATAAAGTTAATGTGTGGTCACCCATGTTCGCAGACAATCTAACATTCTTGGCAAGGGTAAAATGGGAATTAGATTCAATGTTACAAGTTCTTGATCAATTTGCTAAGCGATGGCATTTGATATTTAGTATGAAGAAAACCGTTGTTTTGACATTTGGCGAAAAACCATGTGAACATGGATGAAATATGAGTAAACGAAATTGGAAAATGGGGCTCACCCTCCCTAAATAATGTATAACATGGGAGAATTTAGGAAACGTACGGTGTGTAGAAAAAACAAACCAGTGCTCACATGTTGTCGATTGAACCAGTGCTCACATGTTGTGGTTTGTGGTTGTTGAAAACTTGAAAGGTTTGGTACAATTATGAAAGCCCAAGGGAGACAGCTGGGACTTTAATCCTCTTGTCTCTCTCAAATTGTGGAATAGTAGCACTACCATCTATGTTATACAGTTGCTAACTATGGAAACTTAGTGGAAAAAAAATTAATCGGCTGGAAAAGATGCAAGGGTTATATAATGCAAGGGTTATATAATGCAAGGGTTCATCAGGATCAGCATGTAGAGGAATGTAGGATATTCGATCTGAAATAGATAAAAGGAAAGTATTTTTCTTAGGAATGTTGATTAATTCAAGCGGTACACAAGTTTATAAAGTTATGTTTTATAGGGGTGCACCGTAACTCGGTTCCGGCTGGTTGGTTCCGACCGGAACCCCGATTTTTCAGAGTTCCGGTTCCGACCATAACTGATAATAAAAAGCATGACTGGAACCAGAACTCTGTTTTTTTTTTTCAGAGAGATAGAATATCAAACGTTTTTGTGTGTAACAAAAGTTCACAGTGGGAAGAAATTCGGACTACATAAGGAAAATATGCACCTTTAACACTTCATTATGACATTTAACGTTTGTCAATCTTTTTATTCTAACATTTGCAAGCTCTCTCCTTGATGACTTGAAGTGTTTGCCTGTCTGGCAGCAGACAAAGTTACTACATATGACTATATATGGCTTGATAAATCAGTTCCGGTTCCGGCCGGAACTTTTTTCCAGTTCCGATCAGATCCCGTTCCGGCCAGAACTTAAAAAAATGGTTCTGGTGCACCCCTAATGTTTTACAGATGGTTAATTAGCTGGAAATGGGATTTTAAATCAGTGATGAATGGTTTTATTCCTGATATCATTTATATCCTTCACAAAAATGACTTGTTCTGTTTTATGAATGATTTTTATTGATAAAGGAGAATTTCCAAGGAAGAATCGGTGGAAAAAGATTGTAGAGTGTCACATTTTATCACATGACTACCTTGCTGTAAAAGCTCCGCCTTTATCTTATCTCCAGACGAAGGGCATCGTTCTCGAAATGTCAAGAAACATATTCTGTTACAAATTTTGGCAGTCTCAAACTGTTATTGTCTATTGCATTGTCTATACTATTATATAATCACTAAGTATTGGAGGATTTGGAAACAGCTAGTATACATTTTATACATTTTCCTGGTCTATAATTTTCTTACAGTATTTTTTGTATAGTGTGACATGAATCTATTTTGATTGTTTTGTAGTGATCATGATGTTTCTCAGTTAGCTATTACTAATTTGAATGCTGATAAAGATCTAGAGGAACAGGATTCAGGGAGGATAGATATGTTGGACTTCTATTTGTTGACTTTCCAAGGTCAAGATGCCATAATGAAACACAATAGTGCAAGGGGGTGCAAAAATAGTGGTGAAAAAATATTTAAAATGGCATCCTTAACATTGGAAGGGCCTATTATGGCAATACAGCGTGTGGTTTGCAATCAATCCCCTATGACTTAAACAATTAAAAGGGAAGACCATGACGATGACGATCATGAAGATCATTAGAGTTAAACAACAACACAGCAACCACGTTGGCCGACAATTGCAACCCAGCAATACAACTTTTTTGCTTGCGACAATTGGGACTTTTTTCGGCACACAAGCCTTACTGCCCACTGGTGAAACAATCCTGCATACAGCCCTCCATCAGATGCATTTATCAAGCAAAGTAGCTAGGGACAGTGCATCTCAGCAACACATATGTTGTGAATATTTCCTTTTTCCATTACAGCTACACTTGTTAATTTAGTATTCCAATGATTTTTTATTCAAATTGCCACTCAAGTGTTGGTCATATTGTCATGTAGTGAAATGATTTTCTTTTTTAACCTAATTTGGTACTTGTTTCAAATTGTTTTAACAGTTCAATAGGTTCTGTTGATGACGATCAGGATCCTGAAACACTTGATCAACAGTGTGAACCACCAAACAGTGATCCAACCTTGTCAGATGAAGATGTGGCCAGTAGCAGAAGTGCGACAATGTATAGGCCACATCCTAAACTGAGTAGAAGTGATGAATATACAATGTTCAGCAGAAATTTAAAATGGTGAAAGATATCAAAATAATTTGTTCTTTGGATTTGTTGCTGCAACTGTTCCAAACTCACTGTCAGACAGCTGGTTGTGTTGATGTCCCTGCAATAAGTCATCACTTTGTTGGCACAGCTATTGTTGTTTACAGTACTTGCACATCTGGCCACAAGAATAGATTTTGTTCATCACATGAACTAAATAACAGACTTTATGTAAACAACCTTCAGGTGGCTGCATCTTCATTATTACCTGGCAATAACTTTGGTAAAATTGAATGTTTGGCCAACTTCTATGGTTTTGGCAATCATATCAAAGAGCACATACTTCAGGTTTCAACAATTATATTTAATCCCAGAAATCAATGAATGGTGGTGCTGGATGAGGAGGGAAATCCTTGGTGAATTTGCTGGTAAAGATATTGTTGGTGGTGATGGCCAGTGTGACTCCCCGGGTTTCAACGCCAAGAAATCTTTGCTACTTCTTTGTTGAAGTTAATACAAATTATATTATTGACGTTGAAATCTTGATAAGAGGCATGTTGGTCCAACCTCAACTAATATGGAAAGAGAAGGTGTGAAGCGTGGGATGGAAAACCTAAAAGACAAAAAAAAACATGGCACTAATGTGGTTTCTCATGTCTGACAAACAACCAAAGATGTATTTCACCCTTTTATAGCTATGTGAAATACCTAAATATTAGGTTATCTTTTTCATGTGAGCATATAGATAACATTTCTACACAATAGTCCTTATGAAGGCTTATTTCGAACTGAAAAAAAGAGATTGTTTTTCAGAGCCAGACTTCAAAAGAAACCGCCTGTAATGAGTTAATTAATTTTATTCTATAGCATTTATAGTTCTACAGCTATCCAACAGTTTTATAATATTGTGATTGATTCAATGTTTTAAACAGATTAAAAGAATGAAAGATGAGTACTTCGCTATTCTTTGGCAGGGGTAACAAAATATATGCTGTTCTCTATATCCTTTTCTTTTTGTGTTGGCCATTGGTAATATAATAACTGTAAGATATTAACGAGTTTCACAATCCTATTTTGGCTATTTGAAACACAACAACAGCTTTTGGGAGTTTTGTATCATGTGTTTTTCGAAAGCCCCATTTTCGGACCTCCCTGACATGCAAAATGCTAAAAATCTTCATTAATAATATCAAATTTGTAATAGTAAACAATGTATTTTCTCATAAAGGAGTTCGGTTTTTCCTACTGCTCCATGTGCTCCGTGTTTTACTAATAGCCAGGATAAAATGGTTGCACACTTTCATGACAAGTTTATCTTTGAGTCTCTCTTGTCTTGTAATTTTGTGGTATCATTACAGACATTTGCTTTGAATACCTCCTCAGCATATTCAACAATTGCATATACTGAAGCCAACGGTACCAACAGCATTTGTAAACCATCATTGTTTACAAATAAAGTGAAGGCTAATGCTGAGGCAACCTCGTTGTAGTTTAAGGCACAGTAGTCATGGTCAGTGGTTGTCATGGTAAACTGAGCAAGGAGACTGGTTTTCCATGACGAACTGGACAGTTTCTTGACTAGCTAGACCCAATGTAGAATAGTATGTTGGAGAGGAACTCGGATGTAGTTGGAGCATTTGAATGTGAACAGAGCAAGCTTTCTTCAGGTGTGCTATCTGGTTGGTCGCAGCTGTGGGATTCTGATGGAGATTCTACCAAAGGGGCTTTATGTTTTCTGGAGTGGATGGGGATGACCATGGTGGGACAGTTTGAGAATGTTTCACAGTTGGCATTTTTGGAGGCTGTCACAGCATTTCTAAGTAGCATCTTACTCATTGCATACTTTAACTGTAAACAATTTGGGTTGTTATTCTAACCACCTTTTGCTCTTATACGTGAGAGCAATAACTCGATGTGGTCTTGTGAGAATTTAAATTTCAGTAGATATTTAAATGGTTCCTTGATTGCAAACATTTCACTTGTAGACTTAATTGTTGTAACAAAACCAAGTACAAAAGTTTTTCATTGCCAAGAGTTGCTGAGCTTCATTGTCTTCACTAAGATTTCAGAATATCTTCCCAGGTTTCGTTGCATTCTGGTTGAAGTGGTCGTTCAGATCCTTTGGTGATAGGACTTAGAGAATTTAACATATCAAATAACCGATCGATTGTTCTAACAAACTTAACTGTCCCTCTGGAATTACAGAATTCAGTAAGTTCCATAAATGAATCTAGGAATTCAATTGCATCTGCAACAGACAAACTGAGTGTTTGTGCAGAAAGTTTCACATTCATCTTGTGCTTTTCGAATTGCAAATGTTTCGAAGAGAACTTGTTGGGAAAAGTAAATCCTTCACCTTCTTGAATTCTATTTAAGGATGAGAAGTTAAGGTGAGCTAGTGCATTTCTGGCCAGTTGTAGCATGTGGCATGGATCCAGGATTGCATATACATAATAATTTGCTGTTGGGTGTTTGAATTTTGTGACCATAGAGTTGAAGGATGTTGTAAAGTTGCACCCAAGTTCACGGAACATACCAATGTTCACTGTTGTACCATCAGTTGTTACTGACCATACTCATTTTAAGGGTAATTCTAACCAGCTGTGCTTGGGTTTTGGATGACATTTTGTTAGCAAGAAAGTATCCAACTGGACACTTCCAATAACTATGTGCACCCACTAGTTTGAATACAACTGCTTCAGATGCAAGTGTATGGGGTTTCTCAGTTGGTATTATGCCATAATCCACAAAGCCCACATACTTGCCCTGCTTGGCATCCCACAATGTTTGTTTTCTTGTGGACATGCATCGATGATTAGACAGCAGTCTTTCTTCTCTGGGCATTGTATGGCTTCTTTCTGAATGGATGCAAAGGATTCTTTGATGAACCCCGGCTCACATTCGAGTATGCTAGACCACCTTCTGATGAGGGACGGATTGGGCAAAGTATTGACCATACATACTGGTATGCCTTAGGCGAGTAGTAGTTAAGGGTATTTGCGAGCTCTTTAACCACGTCTGAATATCTACGCCCACAAGGTGCACAACTAACATTGTTTTTAGTGTGTCAAAAAATTGAGAGCTGTATTTCGTCAAATTTGCATGCATCATTTTGGCATCCTCTGGAGATGCAAATTGTTTCTGTAACTTCACATCCTGCCCAAAATATGTTTCTCCATACACTGAGCATTTTTGTATATGGAACGTTTGAATTTTATCTGTAATCCAATACCTAAATCCACAACCAGATCCTAATCCAGTCCTAAATCCACAACCATGAGTCCAGTCTTTAGTATGTATCTTACTATTTTGATTGGGAGATGACAACAAAAACCTGGATTCATGAACCTGGACTCAGAACTGGAATATGAACCCGCAATTTCAGAAAAGTGTAATTTCACAGTGTTTAAAATATGGTTCGAAACACCTGTAATATATGCTCATATATAGTAGCTATATACATACATCAATTAGGTTGATTGACAGTTCACACCATAATCACTAGCACATGTAATTGTAATAGGAACCTCAAGGACACTCGCTAGAACACCTAGACATAATCAGACGTGTATCTTTTACTCATGAATAAATCTTCTATAAGCACATAGAAGCATTACATGGTGTCAGAAGTGGGATGCCATAAAAAGCAGTAAACATGGCATCAGGAAACCTTCAATGGGCAGCGCCTAAACCTTTGAAATTAGACGGGAACGTCAGTGAAAACTTTCGCAAATTTGAGGAGCACTGGACGCTCTTCGAGAACACTGAGCTGAAAGGACGGTCGGAAGAGGAAAGATGCTCATACTTTCTTCTATGCATTGGAGAGAAAGGCCGAGAAGTTCACAAGACCTTGACGTTCGCAACGCCAGAAACAGAGACAAACCAAGAGGGGGCAACAACGTGGAAGAGAACAACAAACGAGCTAAAATCAGCGTTTAAAACCTACTGTAACCCGAGAAAGAACATTACGTTCGAACGACACAAATTCAACATACGGAATCAAGAAGAAAACGAAAGCATCGACCAGTATGTGACTGTTTTGTGCACTCTCGCAGCAACATGTGAATTTGAGACACTTCACGATGGGCTAATTCGTGACCGGATAGTTTGTGGAATTCGTAACCAAAGTATTAAAGAACGTCTACTTCGTGAATCTGAGTTAACCCTGCAGAAAACCTTGGATATATGCCGAGCATCCGAAGTATCTCGCAAGCAAGTGAAGTCCCTAAACGATCAGAGTTCCGCCAATGTCGACGCATTGGGGAAAGACCAGCGAAAACACAATTACAGAGGGAATTTTCGCAACCACAACAACAAACCGGAAAACGGAAAACCCCCAAACAAATCCTGCGGTAATTGTGGTCGAGTTCACGAGCCAAAATCTTGCCCTGCATATGGGAAAAAGTGCAATAACTGTCACAAACTAGGACACTTTGCCAAACTATGTCGATCGCAAGCTAAAAACCCAAAGAAATCGGTTCACGATGTAGATTACGAAAGCGACTCCTCGACGCACGGAATTGATATGGTGAAGACAGCTGTGACAAGTGACAATGACGAAGAACACGCATCTCTTAAAATTAACAACACGACAATTCGCATAAAACTCGACTCCGGAGCCGAGACAAACGTTCTAACAAAGAAAGATTTCGAAGCCGCTGTTCCAAAACGACAACGTCGTAGCAAGCTCAAAACGAGCGCCGCAAAACTGACCGCTTTCGGGGGCCATAACATTCCTGTCATCGGAAAATGCTATTTAAAGTGTCAATACAAAGGAGCGACTGAAGTACTCGAGTTTCAAGTGGTCGAGACGGGCAAATCCTTGCTCGGATGTACAAACTGTAAAAGTATGAAACTTATAACATTTCATAACGTAGACCAGCTGCGCAACCAACCCATTACCGACGCGGCACCTCAAAGTTCACTAAACGGACTTACAAGTGAATAGATATTCGAGAAATATTCCAAATGCTTTGACGGATTAGGACGCATATCAGACCCTTATCACATTAAGATTAACCCTGACGCAACGCCTGTTGTTCATCCACCTCGTAAGCTTCCTTCAGCGTTGAGAGATCGAGTCCAGAACGAACTACAAGAAATGGAATCCAGGGGAATCATTAAGAAAGTCAACGAGCCCACGGCATGGGTAAACTCCATGGTAGTTAACGAGAAACGCTCGGGAAAATTACGTATATGCATCGATCCACGAGATCTCAACAAAGCTCTGCGTAGAGAGCATTACCAACTCCCCACACAGCAGGAGATAACAAGCCGCCTGACAGACGCCAAATTCTTCAGTAAACTGGATGCGAACTCTGGATTTTGGCAAATGCTACTTGACGAAGAGAGCTCTTATTTGACGACATTTAATACGCCATTTGGTCGCTATCGCTTTACTGTGATACCATTTGGTGTCGTGTTTGCACAAGAGGTGTTTCATAAAACTGTCAACGAGAAATTTCATGATTTACCCGGATGTGAGACGGACATCAATGATATTTTGATTTGGGGACGAACACTGGAAGAACATGATCAAAACTTTGAACGTGTTCTCAATCGAGTGGCAGATATCAACATGACACTTAGCAAAGACAAATGTCAGTTTCGACAAACCAAGATAACCTATCTGGGAGAAACGCTTACGGCAAATGGTGCTTGACGAGACCAAAGTTGAAGCAATCAAGAATTACCCCAAACCTACGAACAAGCATGATGTTCAACGACTAGCTGTTAGGCATGGTCAATTTTATCGCCAAGTTTGCACCGAACATTTCAGACGTCACCGCACCTCTGAGAGAACTCATCAAAAAGAACGTTGCATTCCACTGGCTCGAAACACACGAGAAAGCGTTCCGAGATCTACAGCATTTACTAACTGACCCTGCTACTCTGCGTTACTACGATGTAGCAAAACCAGTGACACTCCAAGTCGACGCTTCACAGAACGGTCTTGGAGCAGCTCTAATCCAAAACCAAGGTCCAGTAGCTTACGCATCGAAAGCCATGAACGACACACAACGACGCTACGCACAGATCGAAAAGGAACTGCTGGCTGTTGTTTTCGCTTGCAAAAGATTCCATCAGTACGTTTATGGTAAAACCATTACTGTCGAAAGCGACCACAAACCTCTGGAAGCTATTCTCAAAAAACTCTTGTCACAAGCACCGAGCCGCCTCCAGAAAATGTTAATGCAGCTACAAGCCTACGACATCAACTTGGTTTACAAGAAAGGAAGTGAAATGTACATCGCTGATGCGCTGTCACGTGCATTTCCTCCTGAGATAATACCAGAGCAATTTGAAGAAGACATATAGCTTCGGAGCGATTCATCCATCTGATGTCATCCGAGTCTTACGTCACTGACCGGAAACTCCAAGCCATCAAAGATGAAATCCATACAAACGAAACAATGCAACTTTTGGTCAAACAGATACAAGATGGATGGCCAGATCATAAGATACTGGTTCCAAGTAGGTACAACCTTACTACCCATAAGGCCCATAACATCCTCATTCCACCATCATTGCGAGCTGACACCCTCCAAAAACTCCACCAATCACACCAAGGAATTGAGAAGACAAAGAGATTGGCTAGGGAGAGCATATTCTGGCCAGGTATGAATTCCCAGATTGAAGAATTAGTGTCGAACTGTTCCACATGTCTTCATCACGCCAGTGCCAACCAACGAGAACCACTTCATCCACATGAAATTCCCAGTCGACCCTGGCAAAAAGTCGGCACTGATCTTTTTGACTGGAATGGAAAACCGCATCTAATAGTCGTTGACTATTACAGCCGATACCCTGAAGTTTCTGAACTTCGAAACATGAAAGCACGGACAGTCATCAACAAGACAAAGTCCATATTCAGTCGACACGGAATCCCAGAAAGTGTAGTCTCCGATAACGGCCCACAGTACTCATCCGAAGAGTACAAACAGTTCGCTAACGACTACAACTTCATCCATAACACTATCAGCCCGAGATACCCCCAATCTGGTGGTCTACGTGAAAAGACAGTCCAAACAGTCAAGAACCTTCTTGAAAAATGCAAAGTCGCCAATCAAGACCCATATCTCGCGTTGTTAGATTACCGCAACACCCTTATAGATGGCGTCACCCCAGCACAAGCCCTAATGAGCAGACGACTCCGCTCACCCCTTCCCATATCCCAAAGAAAGCTTAATCCAAAACCTGTCAACAGAACCACTTTCCACGCAGCACGTCAACAACAGCAACAACAACAGAGAAAACACTATGACCGCACTGCTAAGTCTCTGCCACCATTAGAAAGAGGTGATGCAGTGAGATTTAAGAAAGATCCTCAAGCAGCATGGACCCGTGGGATGGTGATACGAAAGCACGAAGCACCACGAAGCTACGTAATAAAGGGTGAGAACGCGACGGGACGTCTCTCCCTCCTCTCTTGGACCTCGCGCGCCGCTTCGCGGCGAGCTCGATCTCGTCGCTTCGCGACTCCAACTCTAGAGAGACGGACTTGATCCAAGTCTAACGAAAGACTAGAGAACATCAAGCTGACCTAGACACACCGGATATTGAGGATCCCCAAGACCCGATCCCACAACCAACAACCAATGCAGAAAGAAACAACATCCAAATCCCAACAGCGCCATACCCACCTCAACTGAAGACAAGCCGTTATGGCAGACGGATAAACCAGAATCCGAACTACAAGACGTGAACATATGGAGCATGATTGCCATATATTGTTTGAATATCTTTACTTAAATATTGAATCGAACACGTAATCCAAACATAGACTTGATTTCTTAAATAATTCATTTTACGTTATATATAATTTGGTAATAATCACTTTTAATTTAGAAAAAGGGGATGTAATATATGCTCATATATAGTAGCTATATATATATACATCAATTAGGTTGATTGACAGTTCACATCATAATCACTAGCACATGTAATTGTAATAGGAACCTCAAGGGCACTCGCTAGAACACCTAGACATAACCAGACGTGTATCTTTTACTTATGAATAAATCTTCTATAAGCACATAGAAGCATTACAGGCAGCAGCGCATTAGTACAACGCAGGCAGCCGTGAAGCCGCGTCCACAGCAGATGATAAGGTGAATGTTGAGATGAATACTTTTAATTTAATATTATGTTCCATTTAAATGTTTATCATTTGTCACAAAAGTATGCTGTAACAGGAGTGGGTGCAATGGGTGGCGTGAGGTAGGTGGGGCGGCGGGGTGAATGTGAACAAAGCTTCAAAATAATAAGCTCAGCGCTAAGGTTTAATATTATATATAGCTTTATAACAAAATATACTCATAACACTACATGCATATGTCTTTCATATATATCGCGACAACTCTTTTCCACTTGTGGATTAACACAATATTAATTAGGTTTTCTACTTTCATTGAAAACTTTCATTGAAAACCCTGAAAAAAGGAAAGCATTCAAAGTTCATCAATACTCGCGGGCGCGTGGCTGCAGGTCCTTTGTTATAGATTATGAAAAAAAAATTAGAGGACAGTCATTGTGACTAATAGCGGGAAGTTAATGGTTGAATGAGACTCCTACCTATGTTTAAGTAGTAAGTCCAAGTTTGTGGATCACCAATAGTATAGCAGGAACGTTAACGTATGGAAGTTAGGTAAGAGATAAATTATCTAGTCTCGAATGTTCTGGAAGGGAGTTCCAAGTCCAAGTCATTTACGTTGACGGAATAACATTTGATCTAGTGATTCTTGCGGGATCAATGCGCTGAGGTAAGGTACTTTAGACAGAGTTATAAACTAGACAGATATAATGCCAGTTATAGCCTTGAAGAACTGCAAGTATGAGATGGCAAGAAGTTCCGTGGAGATTAGTCTGTCTCTGCAGGATATTTGTAGGGTGTCCACCCTTAGGTGAAAGTGAAATTTAAGGACTTTTCCAGGACTTTCAAGGCCCATTTTCAGTAAGGACCTAGAACTGGGAAAAATGTTTGAAAATGGCACAGATTCGCCGTAAATAATTCACTGGAGGTTAAGGAAATTAATTCTAGGACTTTCAAGGACTTCTACTGATTTTCAAGGACTTTCCAGTCCTGGAATTTTATTTTTCCAATTCAATGACTTTCCAGGATTTTCAAGGCCCGTGGACACACCCTGTATTTCGCACGTGAATGGCAAACTCGTGCAAAATTTTGTGGCCGGCGTTGGATACGTTCTACACGCTAGCTACACAAACTCAACCTGCAATTTCGAGGACCAGACCAATTAAGTAGCGTAGCCTGCATGGCCTCGTATATTACGAGGGAATTCAGCCAGGGGCGGGGCTAGCCCTATTTTATTAGAGATTGGGTGTTAGTGAAATTTTGTCGAGTCATTTAACTCATTTTGTAGTTCTGCCGCCTCATTCACCGGGTAAATGTGCATGGGTATCCTTTAAACAGAACAATATCAACTATGCCAACAACAAATATAAACAACTAATAATAATATAACAAAAAGTATGTCAATATCAACAACTATCATCGCTCACACTCAAAGAGTGGAGATTCGATCTGAGCTTCCCTTGGGTGTCAGTGCTGTATTTGATTAGCTGGAGGGTGAGTAGTCACATAGTAAGTTACAACACTAACCCTCCAGCTATTCAAGAACAGCATTGACACTCAAGGGAAGCTCAGATTGAACCTCCACTCTTTGAGTGTTAGAGAGCTTTTAGAATACAGGGGTATGTGTTTAACTATGTTTTTGTAGGAATAGAAAATCTAAAATATATTCTAACGAATTTATATTGCCCACATGCGTGGGTGCTTCCGCATACATGCTGTCCTGTAGTATACAGGGTGTCCCAAGAAAGCAGAATTCCCAAGAGCAGAAAATCGAGCGCTTTACAAAGATATTTTAATTTCTTAATAAGTCAATATTTAATGTATGCACACTTGTCAATATTTTACGCATCTTTGCGTTCAGCTTAGTGCTAGGGCATTCAAATTCTAACAATACGTTATTTCAATGGTTTTCGGTTTTTTGGGACCCTGTATACAACTGTATATTAAATTGTAACAAAGAAAATAGCAATAGCCAGGGGCGCCGGAAGTACCCAGGGTAGATGGGGCAGAATCTCGAAAAAGCGCACTTTCACCTGTACTTGTCAAACAAGACTAACAAAATTTTAAATCAGTATAACAAGCCGTCTCCCTATATTCATTAATTTAATATATGTTACCAGAAGAAATGTAGAGATTCACATCAAACGCTTGTTAATTAATAACAATTTTTAATAATAATACAATAGAAATACCGTAATATATAACAACTGTTATTTATTCTGTTTTTGTATGAACTTTTAGATTTATTGATATCTTCCGACGTAACTGCCCCGTAACGTTGTTCGTTTACTGTTATAAAGGCTTTTGCTATGCATACTCTCGGTAGCTGTTTACACAATCTGTACTTCGTCAATCGTAGACCACGACGACCAGCGACGAACGCAAACTATTAGTTCGGGCTCATTCCTCTCCGTTTAATACACATCTCATTGGCAACCTTGCAAAATTTAAATGTACGTTTGATTTCCGAATTTGGACAATATAAATTTTTAACTCAGGGTGATACAATAAATTCATTATTAGCTAGGTTTTGTAAAGGCATCGGCTCTTGAAGTACTGTTTAATAAACGAGCAAGAGTGTTTTATTAGGTTTAAAGCCACGAGCGCGCAACGCGAGTGGCTTTAGACCTAATAAAACACGACCTGCGAGTAAACAGCTTCAAACACGACTACAAATTCAATAGATATACTGCCTTATTAGTATTCTTTATATAAAGAGTACTAATGAGGACACGACTACAATAGATACTGCCTTATTAGTATTCTTTATATAAAGAATACTAATTAGGAGTGTTTTATCAGGTTTAAAGCCACTGCACGTGACATATTATGGTTGACATGATTTGCCAATAAGCTTATGAATTATTAATGAGTGTTTGAAATATACGTAGGGCACACGACTGCCCATGCGTGCGTGCCCCCGTAAGCATAGAGCAGCGGCGCCCCTGGCAATAGCCAATTTTCAAAAATAGCCATTGTTATAAACTGATATTGACCTTTATCAGCCATAATTTATTGTAACTAAACTGAGTACAGGCTTTAATTTATTTTACCTATAATCAATATGTACAAAATAACAAAATTAGCTAAATATTTTCAGGTTTCCTAGAATAATTTAGTCCTAGAAGCAATTTGACCTGTATGCATTAGACAGAGTAAAGTAAAGACGAGAACCAGTGTCAGACCAGATAGGAAGCTACCTCGGACAGGAGCAAGGAATAGCTTCGCCTATAAGAGAAATATATACACATTTAAATATGACATGCAATAATGTAACTTGATATTATTTATCATGTTTGGCGACCAAATTTCAAATTATTTTAATTCATTTTTATTGTACTGTGTTCCCGTTTTTCATTGGCTAAAAGCCTACAAATAGAGTCATCATCTACCTATACTATCCACGCTCGTGGTTGGTTGATTATAACAATGAAAGACAATAAAACTATCGAAATCGTCTTTCTAAAGAACAAGTCACGAACAATGATCTTTTTGCTTCTGAAAGCCAATCACAAAACATGATCATTTTAGGTAGGTCTTTACCCGGGCCAATGCCTTCCTCGCCCGCGCACAGGCATTGCTCTGGGTACGAGATTGATTAAGGGTTGTTTATACGAGACGGGCCAGCCCGGCTAACCAGGCTCATGTCTTACAGCAGCTAGCTACAAAACTTTCCCAAAGTAACGTTGATAAAAATATTCAGTTTTAGATTAGGAATAACGTTTCCTTCCAAATCTTCTCTTATTGCAAAGCAAATATTTTCGTGACACAAATAAGCCTATATCAGCTCCACAAGTTTAAAAAGGACGGGCGCTATACACGCGCGAATGGTTTTCCATAATTATATAGTTTCGAGACATTGGAGATATTGACAGTCATGCATATAAGCATAGTTTCATTTTGTCTCCCATATAACCGGTGGAAACTCTCTATACTTTGTATCTTTTGTTTAATATAACTTGACGTGTTGTTGGCGAACACAACTGTCTTTATACTGTATAGAGCGATCAATGTATTTGCGATATCAATATATTTTGGACAATTGTTAGCAAAATTAAGTGTCAACTATAACAGTTGACTTCTTCTAAAAGCAGCGATTTGAAACTTGGAGGATATGTCATTCAGGAATAGGCATCGGTCAAGTAGCCAATGAGAATGCAGGATTATTTATATTATATTGGCCTTACTGGATCTCTAGGAGGAGGAGGAGTTTAAATCGCATAGAGCTATCCAGAAAGTTTGCTACGACGTTTAGACCAACCTACGTTAGATAACCAGCTTTGGAATAACCGAACACACGTGCATATGTTTCTTTAATAACTACAGGTGTAGCATTACATGTATACCGATGATTTACCTTCAAATCTGCACTTTGAACAAAACCAAGGAAAGAATCAAGCTCGAGTTGAGAGCTAGTTTGGTGGCCAAATACCCGCACATCAAGTGAAATCTGTTTGAATTGCGATGTTAGACTTGTAACTCTTGCTGCCTAGATAGACAAAAACACATTTTGGCATTATTTTTTTTTTTTAAATAAAACTTCATTGCCTGCCTAAAGTATGTTTCAAGTCTCAATAATCTCAGTCAATATTGCTATATTAAGTCAACCATGCACTTCATCCAGTTCACCTGCGCGTTCTGACTTGGAAACAGTTTGCAAACAGCCTCCACACACGTTACAACAAAATCTATAAACAGCGTACAAATAGCATCCAACAGCATGCAAACAGCATGCAGAAAACAGTGTGCTAACCATTCTGTAAGCATGCATGTACCTCGTGGAAACAAAAACCAGCAAACTGGAACAGCAAAAAAACAAACAACAAACAGCAAATTTTGAAAAATCAAAGCGCAAAATAATTACAAACAAACAAACTTGAAATAACAAATAACCAACTTCAACACTGAAAAGCAAACAAGAAACATTCAATATAACAACAAACAAATATATGCAACAAGCAACAAACGTGAAACAGCGAACATGGAATCGTATATAATAATAACTACAGTATATCGATATAGCATCAGACCAATACTACATATATATACCGCTTATCATCAAAATAAGGTGTATGACACTGTAACAGCCAACTTACTGCGGAGCAGGCTATTACAAACTTACCTGCATGACCGGGAAAAACAATCCCAGAAAGCATATAAAAACATTGGATGCTCTGTACAAAGTGACTTCAACTGATTGCTGACCCTCATTCATGAATATGTAAATCATACCTGAAAAAATTACAACGAAATATAAATATATATCTATATACTAGAAATACCTGCACGCTGATGCATGCAACAAACCCCCGCCTATATTTTCCAAACATTGTTTCAACATGAAGTATTCGTAATTACGCCAACACTGAACGCAGGCTCGCGTTGCTCACGTCATGTTGGCGAAGGCAACACGATAATTGTTTTTTAATTTTTTGTACAAAACTGCAAAAAATAAATGAAACTTGAACACTTTTAATTTAGCACTTTGATGTTATTTTGCATTCTATGGGCTTTATTGCTGCCGAGCGTAGCGAGGCAGCACACTAATCTCTACACGTGGTGTGCTTACCACGTGACCGCCGAGTTTATAGCCGCTACAATCTCGATTTATGTCATTTTGTCATCCACGGACGGGCCAAAACTAGCTGTTTTGATATTATTTTTTTGTTCCCGGGGGGGTTTGTTCACAACATGGCGACTGTTATAAACGGACAGAAATATAAAAATCATAAAATAATGCGAATTTCCATAAAAATTCCGAGTAATATTTGTGAAGATGAATGGGTAAATAAAGCACGGTGTTATTTTGTGTCTCTGGCGCAAGAATGATCGACAATATTTTGAATAATTCAGGTAAGGATGGCTTTATTTCGTTCTCGTATAGTGATGTAGTCGTGCCGTGTGCCCTGTCTACCTGTCTGGTGATATATTTTATAATACATGAAGGCATTTATATTTAAATCTGCTGTTTATACTTGTTTAGTCACTTTAGTGTATTAAACTTCGATATAGAGGCATTGAAACAATATGATTTCAAGAATATATCGGCAAATATAATACCCACTGAATCACTGATCTATTCCCGACCAAATCGACAGTAATGCAGATACAAGAAACAAATGAACTTTTAGTTTATTTGTTTGTTATGTCACTTAATATGTGCAAAGCCAAAGGCGGTGAGTATATAATAGTGTTCGGTACGTTCTATTTCTAGATGTTTATAGTTTAAAAACAAACGCGGGATGTTGTTAAATCAGGCTTAACAAGATTCCTAGAGCTACCCAGTGTGGATTGTTGTCTGCATATATGGACTTATCAGCAATTACATGTAATATAGCATATCAACTGACTTTTGTATAAGATATGACTTGTATAAGACTGCCTCAGTTATATATAAAGCCTATAAACATGATTCTACTGACATACATTGATATATACATATGGCTGTGTTACCACAATAATGCTCACAACTTCAACTTCTTTCTAACAATATAGTTTTGCAGTTCTGACTGTTCTGAGTATGATCTTATTCATTCAGAAATATAAGCATTGCACTGTATTCAATGGCAAGCTATCCTGGATTCCAGAGCCTTCAGTTAATAATAAATTGAAATATCGTGAAGGCTCTGGTTCAACGGGAGGATTCTTTGATTAAACTGTGCCAATCACAAAACAGAATTAGCAGTTTTAGTACAGATTTTGGGCGTGTTAACCCATTAAGCGCCAGCGCTCTCCCCTTGACGAGTAAAATCGTCTGGCGTTAGACAGAGTAAAATACTCTGGCGTTAGACAGAGTAAAGTACTAAAGTAGGGTGCATCAGGGTGCAATGCGACCCAATGGGTTAACTAGACGCATGGGCAGATAGATCAGTTAACCCATTAAGCGCCAGCACTCTCCCCTTGACGAGTAAAATCGTCGGGCGTTAGACAGAGTAAAATACTGTTCAAAGTAGGGTGCATCAGGGTGCAATGCGACCCAATGGGTTAACTAGACACATGGGCAGATAGATCAGTTAACCCATTAAGCGCCAGCACTCTCCCCTTGACGAGTAAAATCGTCTGGCGTTAGACAGAGTAAAATACTGTTCAAAGTAGGGTGCATCAGGGTGCAATGCGACTCAATGGGTTAATATAGTACATAACATAGGTCATAGACATACAGTTTCAATACAATACAAAATGATTTTGAACAACGTCAAGGTCAATGAAATCATACAAAATGAATTTATGGAATATCAATTAAATGTATTTAAAACAAACATAATTTCAACATCCCAATAAGCAATAACATCCCAGTAAGTATAAATTCAACTATTTTAAATCAATTGTTTGAATAGCAAAATTAAAAGTTGTACGAGTGACAAAATCATTCAATAATATTCACATTTTATCATTTATATTATGTGTCAACTATCAAAGTCGCACTGTTAAGTATATTAAAATATACTTTTCATAAGATTAGATGTAAGATATAATTGTACGAAGGTAACTGAGGAACGACGATGTGTAAGACAATAAATCATACATACAGTGAAAAACGCTCTTTTTGTAGCACATCCTACATGTACATACCGGCAGCATTTTCCTTGCGATAGTAACTCCTAGTTTTAATGTAAAATTCAACACGAATTAACTCAGTCTTTTTTTAATTGAAATTAACAGCTTTTTGCCGATAAACTCTTTAACTTATTACTCGCGCTTTGAAATGAAATAAATTTAAATCATACCGGACGCTAACTAAAATAATTTTCTTTCCCTTTTATTATACGAGCTTCGACAAAAATTTAAACAAGCTAATTTAAGAAACTTTCGCATACAAAGCATAAGAAAGACTTGAACAACAAAAACAAAGTCTACTAAGTCAAAGTCGTACATAAACAGCAGAAAGAATCTTGCCTTATAACTTTAGGATTTCTCATACTATAAATCAATTCTTAATTAATGTTTACGTTATTATGTGAAACGATATTCCAAGCTTTCTTACATGTTTTTTAAATTTTTGCCTCCTTCACCCCTGGCAAACAGCCATATTTTTGAGATCAGTGACGACAATGAGATGACACCCATGAACCATAGTCACGCGCCCGCGATTGTTGACGACGTTTAGACGTCGCTAATGCTTTCCTTTTCCCGGGTGTAAATAGCCGAGCGGAATTAGTATCCTCGCCCCAGGCTTACGCCTGCAACGGGGATGAGTGTTAATAAATATTGTAGCTATTGATACACCAGGCGAAAATCTTAGTTTATAAATGAATAAAAGAGGCCAGCAAATAATTTTTGTACCACACATACATAAAGAAACGCTAGCTAATAAAATTTCATAAAATATGTGTGGTATAAAAGTGATTTGCTGGACCCTTTTATTCATTGTTAATAAATAATTACATAAAGGAATTCTATAGGTTTTCGGCCGCTTTTGTAGCCCATAAAATTGTAAGAAACCCTGAATAATAACTATTCATAACTACAAGATGATGAGCGGTATTAACATCATATGGTACCTATGACAGCACTTTCCAGAAGCGTGAATATGCATAGTGAAACCATGTAAGACAGCAAGGAATTCATTCGTTCTAAAGTGTTCTTTACATCCAAGATATCCTAGACAATGACAACAACAATGATACTACAATAACAATAGCAATAACAATAACAAAGACGACGACAACAACAACAATACTAGCAAAAAAATAATTAATACTAATACCCTCGCCTTACTGAAACTATAGGCTGTCTTTTTTCTTTTATTTTTCGTATCATAGCGTTTTTAAAGCAATTAAAGCGCCAAACAATACAGCAATATTAAAAACAAACTTACCTTCATTAACGTCGGCGACGTTTTTGGGCTTTCTTTCTCAAAAAGGTTTTGAAATTTACAAAATGTTGAAAAAATACAATATATTTGCAAGAAATGTTTGTTATTTAATTCGCTGTCGTCATGTAGTCGTTATAATGCAAATTTCAAATTTGACCAATCAGTGTTCGCTATTCATGACAGTCCACTACATATTTTGAGATCTGTGAGGATGACCACCCATGAACGGTGAACCATGGCCATATGCGCCCGCGATTATTGATGAACTTTAGATTTCGCTAGTGCGTTCCTTTCCCTGGGTGTAAATAGCCGTGCGGAATTAGTACCCTCGCCCCTTGCTTACGCCCGGAACGCCGCTCCGCGTCGTTGGCTCGGGGATAATAGAAACCTTACGATTTTAGGACAGCAACGTGACGGCGACGGCCAAAACAAACTCCTTCGAATAAATGGTAGTTCATATAGTTCGTCGTATATTATCAATAGCATGAATTTAATACAGTCTTAGAAGTTGAAGACATGAGTTTTATGGTTGGGAAGAGTTCTGCTAAACCCAGTTTGAAGTTGCACTTGTTGTGGCTTGGAATGCAGTGAAATGTGTGGCTTGGAATACGTTAAAATATGTGATTTGGCGTTGTAAACAGAGCGAGGACAATGTCTAAATTATTCATATATTGTAATTACTCAATGCTTTTCAATGATCTATTGTATTGGTAGCCGTTGCCGTCGCGTTGCCGTCCTAGAATCGTAAGGTCTCTAATAACTAGTGCGATGAGTTACAGGTATAAAAGGTTCATCTTTGTCCTTGCAGAGCCTGGCACTCGATTCTTGTTCAGTTCCAGTTGACATGCAAGTAGAAAGCAAGTAGTAATATATTCATATTATATTATATAATTGGTTTCACACGGAATTCGCTGGCTGAAAATATTGTTTAAATGCAACTGTGCATGTACTCTTCGCAATCTACGGAACAATTATTTTTCTTAATAATCAGGATTGATCGAATCTCGACGGTTGCTGAAACAAATTAACGGTTAAAAACGAAAAATCCGAAACGAATTTTTTTAGCATAATATACCTTCATAATACTTTGAAGGTGTGTGGATTTCTCTTCAATTCTTCGCGTGATACCTCTGATGTAGTGTATGACAAGTTGACACTGCGCAGCATAATTTAGAATAATTACGACATTTACCAGATCCAGAACAAGTTGCCCACAACCCATTAGAAACGCGGTCACCACCAACCCTCTGAAATACAAATAAGTTTTCAACGAGAATCGCACGGGCCGATCTAGGCACGACTTACACGGAAAAGAGCAGATTTTCCCAGAGTGTCTCGAACTGAAGTTCCGTGTGCGTATCTAAATTTTTGGGGAGGGGGTGTATGGCGTTGCAGATCGCATGATGACACTTTACTAATGCCACACTTGTTTCAACTTTGTAGCTATAGTCTATTTAAAAGCCCGAATTTAAATTTTAATTAAATCCTGACAATCATCCTTACCCTAAAATCTAAGCCTTGAACCAAAATGTATAAATCAACCACTTATAACACAAACTCATAGTATATATAGCTAATTATATTAAAGTTGTCCTTTCAAAGTCAAAACGGCCACAAAAAATCTCGACCTCCATAAGCGCGTAAAGCACAACGGACTTGCATGTATACAGTATGTAATTCATATTTCCGACACTTTCTTACAATTTACTCTGGCGAAATCCTGTCACTGTCTCAGGTCCAAATACAAAAATGTAAAGAACAAAGACACCCATATCAAGAAGTAACCACACGATACCAAGTATTACAAAACACCTAAAAATTAATATAACAAAGTAAATGTTAACAGCTCAGAAAAATCAGGACCTCTCTTAGACCAACTCAATTTCTTCCGGGTTTTTTTGCTAAATAAATTATGTAAATTATCAATTTGTCATTATACATCTCAAATGTTTTATTCTCCAATCACAGTCATGCACTGTTAATTGCGAGTCGAACGTTTAAATGCAAAAAGTAACCCACCGTTGGCGTACGTTACGTTGGAGAAAGCTGAGTGGCTTTTAAAATTAATGTAAACACAAATATCTTGTACTCTGTAATTATTTACTATGTTCAATTGATAGTCCGATTTTTTATAATTATACTATATATATTTAAAATACTCATTAAAAATTCATAAACCTTGTGGCAAATCATGTCAGTCATAATATGTCACGTGGAGTGACTTTATATCTGATAAAACTCATCTTCATTAGTATTCTTTATATAATTGTTCATCCTAATTAGTATGATTATATTTTTGTTCATCCTATTTAGTATTCTTTTGTAGTCGTATTTTAAGCTATTCAAAACACTCGAACTCGCGTTTTATCATATCTAAAACGCTCGGCTGCGCCTCGCGTTTTAAATACGATAAAACACTGTCTCCTTCTCATGTTTTAAAAACAACTTAAATATATGAAATTAAACAAAGTACCATAAAGTCACATGTAAACGTTTCTGTTTTGTGCTCTGCAGAAAAACCTAAAAATAAAAATGTGTAAAACTACGTTAATATATGGAATTCGGTGAAAATAGAAAAGTAGCTACTGTTAATACTCGATTAACCGCCAAGGCGTAATATTTTCTAGGCTTTTTGTACAACTATAACAGGAACTGAAATTGACCAATCGGTTGAAAGCACTTTTCTATCCGATAATATAAAAACATGGGGATGAACATATATACTGTATGAACGGTTTTCAAATAATTATATATGATTTCCACGGAATTTGATAAAACGAGAATGCATGCAATCATCATGCATTAATGGCCTTTAAAGACCTGATAAAAAGAACTGCATCCTTCGGATTCGTGCGAGTCCTAATGTCTGTCGGTCTGTCCTGGTTTCATTACTCTGAAAGAACTTAATTTGTCATTGCAGGAACCATGTCATTCCGGGATAAGAATTAGGGTCTCTACTAATTTTATCAGTGGATATCAAATGCATAACAGCTAGGATGTTCAATTGTACGTCGTTGCATGCTTTGTCTTGTTTGAAACTGCTAAATCCATCTGAATGGTTTATTTTTTGTCACGTGATCGCTTTTATATATTCACTAGTATATAAAAGCTCATGTAATTCCCGACCCCTGCAACTAACTTCCCGACGAAGGGCCTTCGCTCAAATGTCGAAGGCCCTTCATGCAGGCAGTTGTATCCTTATCAATCCGAAGATTTCCTATTATTGACACTATACCCACACTGACCGTTGAAGATTATTCATATTTGCTCTATAGTGCATTGAGTATAACAAAATTGCAAGCCCTTTGCAGCTAGTAGACACCCCATTCTGCAGGACAATTGCATGCTATTGTTACGCATTACTAACACAACGTCTGTTCTGATTGGTTATTGACCTACAGAAATTTTCCATGGCGCCCTCAACTTCATCCAATAATTATTAAATAGTTACATCTGGTACCTTTTCCATAAGAACATACAATCCTTCGTGCTCTCTAATACGGTACAAGTAAAACCCAATGAAGTAAGCTGACAGATGTAGCATACTTGGTAGAATAAAGGTACCAAATATGTGTTTACACTCGTTATATGCTGGCTCCCACGGATCTTCTTTCTGTGAACTTGACTTGGCCAATTCCATTTTGTTCGGACTTTCAACATAGCTCTGTTTTATGGGTGGAAATGACGTGATCATCGTATTTTTGGGATCGATGGGGGGTAGAGGGGTGATGATTTTCACTGCTGGAATCGTCATATTCGAAGCTGATTCCTATAAGTGTTAATATTTTAAAACAACGTTGAAAGTAAAGGCTTTTACTAATGAGATTTTCTTTTCGCTTCTTTTCGACTTGTTATCACCCTCCTTGCCACCCCCCAGTCCAATTTTAATCAATTTAAGGGCACTGATTTCTAGAATCAACGGTATCCAGGGCCTTCAGTCTTGCTTCCGTGCTTATAAGGCCTCGTTTTTTGGTACAAACGCATAGTAAATGAGATGATGTGTCAAAGTTGAAGTTTCTTAGCGATTAATTGTTACAGTTTCAAGGTTAGTCTGTTTATTATTAATTTTGTACTCGTTTATCAATGCTTAGCGTGAATGTTTGCACACATGAGTACCCCATTGCCGGAGTGAAGTAAAACTTAGATGTGTAAGCCGTCATATTACTATACTACGACTGCATATCAGGGTGTCCACCCTCAGATGAAGGTGAAATTCAAGAACTTTTCCAGGACTTTCAAGGCCCTTTTTCAGTAAATTCAAGGACCTAGAACTGGGAAAAACCTTTGAAAACGGTACGGATTTGCCGTAAATAATTCACTTCATTGATAGATAGATAGATAGATAGATAGATAGATAGATAGATAGATAGATAGATAGATGGTTTATTGAACTTTAGAACTTACAGCCTCAGAAAATTTCACAGCTGAATTACGCTAAGTTTAACAGATATAAGATATTAAGAATATTTGCTATGAGCCCTATTTGCATTTAAAAATTAAAAAATCAAATCAACTATCTAAAATGTATATTAGAATTGCGCATGATAAAACTGTCATTAAGTCTGTTCGTTTTACACACAGGAAGTTCAAAATTTCTATGATTCCTTAAAAAATGATCGTCGGTATTTAATGGCGGGAGGAGGTCGTATAAATTATGATGTGAGTTGCTGGCTATTTCGTTAAACAACTTCGTTGTTAATTTTTGTCTTCGATCGTTCAGTGACAAAATGTTCTTGGTCTCCAAGACATCTTTGTAGTGCATATCAGGAAAAAATATGCGAAAAGCACGTTTTTGAAGTTTTTCTAAATCATCGGACAGGTACTGCGGCAGCGAGTTATGGAATACTTATATTGTAACCTTTATTGGACAGTAAAACAAGACATACCAAACGGCACGAGTGCAAACGGGACTCGAAGTCCCATGCGAGGCACTCTACCTTTTTACAAATTGATTAAATTACAAAAATTATTGTTACGATTACTATACTACAACTAAAATATACATATGCCAATTGTTTGAAGCTCATACATATTAAATGTGGTTGGTTTAAATAAAGTGATTAAAATGCTACAAAAAAAACCCAGCCAATACTGCGTTATACCTAGAATATCAGAAAACAATTACAGAAATACTCAAGCAACAAGCATATGTTTACTTTAGAAACTATTAGTTATATTAAGACCTATGACACGAACAACTGCGACATAAAGACCAGGTACATGGCATATCTACATTATAACTATTTTCTAATAACTGCATGTACGTATGTTCTTGACAAAAAAGATTTAAACAAAGTTAGACTGCGAAGGTCTGCAGGACAAGCTATTTTACACACATAATTCCAGAGAGGGACAATACGGTTAAAGAAGGACGACTGGAAAGCACTTGTTTTACACGACGGAACTTTAAGAACGAGAGAAGGATTTTCACAGTTACGAGTACGATTATGACTAACAAACGACACAAAATTAGAAATATTTAAATCGTAACATCCATTTAGCAACTTAAAGAAAAATGTCAAATCCTTGATTTCTCTGTCATATGCCAACGGGAGAAGATTTAACATCTGCAATCGATTCCTATATGTGATGTCCCGCGTTTGGAGGATCCATCTTGTGGCGCGTCTTTGTACTCTCTCCAACAGCGTTTTGTTGTTATACTGCGATGGTGACCAGACTTCTGTAGCGTAACATAGCTGGGATTTTATCTGGGAAAGATACAATGTGCGCCGAACATTGCAAACTGTTAGGAGGGGACATGTTCTTCGTAGTAGACCCAGCATTACATTGGCCTTGCTAACAATCCGCGATATATGCGTGTTCCAACAGAGGTTACTTGTCAAAGTGATCCCGAGATCAACTTCACTGTCCACGCGTTTCAAATCTGCAGAACTAAGATGGTAATTGGCGATGAGCGGCCTTCTACGGCGGGAGATTGTCATTATTTTGCACTTAGAGGTGTTGAAAGTGATGTTTGAATCAACGCTCCAAACTCCAGCGCACGACAAGGCGGTCTGCAGGCAAGCACTATCCTCGTTAGACGTTATAGCCTTGTATAGCTTCGCGTCTTCAGCGTACAGTCCTGTTGATGTTGCTTGAGGGATTGCGTCAGGGAGATCATTAATGAACAGAAGGAAAAGCATGGGACCTAAAATGCTTCCTTGTGGGACGCCAGAGGTTACTGGGGACCATTCCGAAGCTACGCCTTCGACAACAACACGCTGTGTGCGCCCACATAGGTAGCTACTGAACCAGTCGTAAAGGTTTCCCGATATTCCATACATTCTAAGTTTCATTAGGAGAATGTTATGATCAACCGAATCGAAGGCCTTTGCGAAATCAAGGAAGATAACATCCGTCTGGATATTATTGTCGAGTAGTTGTCCGATTCGATGAAGACAGGGTACTTCGCGCACTTCGCACGCGTACTCGACAACTGGACGAATACAGATGATATAAAACAGGACCAGATCGTTGGGTGGCAATTTGGCACGTTTTAATTGTCTTGGAAAATATAGCCGTGTTGATACCTTTTTACAAGTATTCGAAATATGAGTGTTCCATTTGAGACCATTAGAGATGGTAAGGCCCAGTAGTTTTGTAGATGTTACGACCTCGACTTTGTTAGGCCTAACAAATACTTTGTTAGGCCTAGAAAAGCTTATCCGGAGCTCTTTGCATTTGGTTTCTTTTAATTGGAGGCCATCTGCAATTGACTTTCTGGCAAATTCGTCTACATAATTTTGGATTAAACTTGAGTAATTTCTACCAACGGACTCAGACATAGTTGAGTCATCAACCTACTTCCAGAGATCGTCAACACCAGATACATTTAGATCGTTTATCATTATTACGAAGAGCCAGGGGCCTAACTTCGTGCCTTGGGGGACACCTGCGGGTACATCACTCCACTCTGAGAAGCAGTCATTACACAGTTTCACTCTCTGTTTGCGGTTACTCAGGAAATCTAAAATCCAGTACATAATGGTTTTAGGAATGTTATATCTTGTAAGCTTCTCCGATAAAATGTTATGATCAATCAGATCAAAAGCTTTCCGAAAGTCAAACAACATAACGCGGGTAGTAGAACCATTTCCGTCTGTATTTTTGGTCCAGGTATGTAACATGGAGATGAGGGCATGTGTGGTGCAAGATTTAGGCACAGTACCAAACTGTCTCTTATCGATCCTTTCCATCACTGCTGGCTTCAGATAACGGTTCACAACGAAATCTTCCGCCAGTTTGGACAAAATTGGTGTAAGTGAGATAGGTCGCAAATGATTGTTAATATCTTGAATAGATTTTTCCTTTGGAATTGCGACTACGTCCGCCTCCTTCCATGAAGGGGGAAGGCAACATTTACGATAGGAGCAATTGAGGATATCCGTTACCGAAACGGCTAATAAGTCGGCATTTTCCTTCAGTAACCACGGAGGTATACCATCAGGGCCAACAGCTTTTTTTGGATTAAGTTTTGAAAGCTTTTCAAAGACGACATCGGACGACACGGTAAGTACAGTGTCTGTCAGCACACTTTCAGTGCAGGAACGACGATGAAGATCCAAGGAAAAAGGTGCGAATATGGACATTGGGGACAAGAAGGTATTGTTAATCTCGTTTGCTAAGACTTTCTTTACTGCACAGGAAGAACTATCATTAGGTCTTAAGGCTTTAACAATCTTATCAGAGTTTTCTGCAACTACTTTCATACCGCTGAGTTTTTTTACCTCGTTCCACCAAGCATTAGACTTACATTGTTTCAAATGTTGAACAGTGGTTTTGTAATATTTAGCTCGGCAGATTTTGCTCTGGCGATTGACTTGGTTCCTCAAACGTTTGAACTCCTCGATATTTCCCTGGTTGAGAGCTTTTTGACGATTTATAATAAGGCTCTTTAGTGTCGAGTTCAGCCAGGGCGGATCGTTAGATTTAATCTTTTTCCTTCGTAATGGGAGGACATAATCTAAGCCAGTTTTAACAATAGTTTCCAGAAGCGAGGCTTTTTCATCACAAGAATCAACTCTGCTAAGCATTTCTGGGATATCTACAAGCTCAAGATATTTACACATTGCAAGACGGGAACTAGGCCGCAAGTCCCTCGTTTTTACCGTAAGTTTTGACTTTTCTTGGATATTACGACGCTCGACTGGTCTCACCTCAATAGACATATGGTCTGATAACCCAAAGGGGGCACACTTAGTAGGTTGATCAAAGAATGCGTTAAGATTTGTTAAAACAATGTCAAGGGTATTGTTTCCGCGGGTTGGAAAATTGACAAGCTGTTTTAAATCATAGCCAGTTCTTAGACGTGAGGTATTAAGTTTATTAAAATCACCAAGGACAATAAAGCCACAATTAGGGAAACGCGATTCCATTATTGATAAGCAGTTTGATAGATAATTCAGCATAGCTGCATTTTCTGCACTTGGTGGGTGATACACTGTTCCAACAATCAAATTAGTAAATCCCCTCGGCAGTCTGGTTGGACGCATGTTAATCCATAATACTTCGAATAAGCTGTCAAATAATGCATCCAACACTGAAAATTATATGGTATCTTTAATATATATACAGACCCCGCCATGTTGACGTTCGCACCTGTCTCTGCGAATAAGGTTATATCCCTGTATGTCGACAACGTTGTCGTGAATGTGGCCCTGCAGCCAAGTCTCGACTAAACAAAGTCGTAATTTCCTCGGTATATGACGTCACGCACTTCGTCAATTTTCGGGGCCAGCGACATCACATTTGAAAGTAAAGCCTGGTTCACATTGATCGGCGATGTTCTACGATCCATTGTCTGTGAGCAACGAAGACGAAAATGCACAAAACATTTTATGCATCAATGACCACCGACAATGAGCATCGCCGATGTTTACGATCAATGTGAACCAGGCTTAAAAAGGCAGGAAGATATGCAAATTTTGACCTAATATTTGCGGTTCTGGCTGGGGTTCCTAAGGGGATTTCAATAAGATTATTCAGGTTTCTCGATCTATGTTTTTGAGTTATCTTAGTGTCAACAGAGGTGGTGGATATAACAGGAATATGCTTTGGTTCCGTATTTACTCGATAGTTATGGTGTAGCACGTGTGTTACGTTTCCGGTACATTCTGTGTGTGTCGTGACACGAAATTTAAATAGACTTGCCAGCCCGGTGGGCGACGTTTCCGGCCGTAACGGGAAAAAGAATTCGGGCGTTCTTCTACATGACTGTGAGATTCCTCGGCAGTTCGATTGATTGGAGAAGGTAGATCAATTAATGGTAGATTTCCCAACCAGTTTGGTGGTAGCGATACTATTTTTGATCGAATTTTATGGGCTTTGATTCTCTTAACATTAGACAAAGTGTTCGAAGGAACATTAGTATCAGTCACGACCAGTTACGTTTGATTATCTTTGAATCTGTCTATATTAACTGATGCAATTTCCGAAATTTCGCGATGGTTGTTAGAAGTAGGAGGCGTGTTGTTTTTGTTAATCTTTATTTCCCCTTTTTGTTTTGGTTTTAATGAATGCGTGCTTGAATTATCGTTATCGTTATTTACTTTATTACCAAACTTCTCTTTATTCCGCATTGTTCTATTCTGCCCTGCTCTGTTTTTCTCACCTTTTTTATGTATGGCTTTTGTCGTCGTCGTCGTCGTCGTCGTCGTTGGCTTGAATTGTTTGATGCTTTGTGTTTCTGATTTATTGTTTTCCAAATCTGATGTAGCATTATCATTTCCTGGTGGTGACACGCTTTGAGGAATTTCATTGTTTATTTCAGCCTGCATAAAAACCGGAAGGAAGAGCTTGTTCGCGACTAACCATACTGTTCTCTAACAAAATGGAGATTTGGCCGCTTAAATTAGCCTCCCGAGAGTGTTCTTTTTTCGGTTTAGAGGCGCTATAGAAAGACTTGTCAATAAAGGCCTCGAGTTCCTTTATAGTAGAAGTATTTGGACTTA